GCCCGTAAGGGTAGAGGGGCCCCGGGGCCCCTGGCTCTGGGCGTGGGCAGCCCCAGGTTCTTGGTTGGAAGGCATTTGGCTGCTGCTGCTGCTGCTGCTGCAGCTGTTGCTGCAGCTGCTGCTGCAGCTGCTGCTGCTGCTGCTGCTCTATTCTGTGCCTACTGAGGCAAAAGGGAAAGACCCTCTCGTGGTCAACGCAGCTTTTAGCCCCGGGGGCCCCCGGGGGCCCCTGGCTGTGGGGCCCCTGGTCAAGGCAAAGGGGAGCAGCAAGGCAGCAGCAGCAGCGCCTGCTGCAGCTGCTGCTGAGGATAGGCGCTGCTGCAGTGCAGCGGCCGTCGCTCAGGGCAGCAGCAGCACTGCAGCAGCACGCTGCAGCAGCAGCAGCATCCTCACCAGCTTGCAGGCTTTGCTGCCAGTAGCAGCAGCGCGGATATGCTGCTGCTGCTGCAGCTGCTGCTGCTGGATCCCTCAAAAAGCAGCGACACTCAACGCCTGCTGCTGCTGCTGCTGCTGCTGCTGCTGCTGGCTTCCTTGGCTCTCCTGCTGCTTGCTGCCACATGGGAGCGGAGCAGCAAAGACAGCCAGCAGCAGCTCCGCTTAAATCGCGAGCAGCAAAATAGGCCCCCTCAGCAGGGGGGCCCCCCAGTGGCCCCTGCTGGGGGCCCCCAGGGGCCCCCTGGGGGGCCCCTGCAGGGGCCCCTGCAGGGGCCCCTGCAGGGGCCCCTGGGGGGCCCCCTGGGGGGGCCCCCTTCCAGGGGGGCCCCTCGCCCAGCCGAGGGGCCCCATGAACAGCAACAGCGCGAGCCCTGGGGGGCCCCCAGGGGGCCCCCAGGGTCTTTTCCCCGTCAGCCTCCAGGGGGGGGGCCCCCCACATTCTGTACCCTTCCTCGTCAGGGTCCAGGGGGCCCCTGGGGGCCCCCTCGTTGGACTCTGCTGCCTGTGGTGCGCCTGCTTCTGCGCAGGCTGGGGGCTGCTGCTGCTGCTGCTGCTGCTGCTGCTGCTGCTGCTGCTGAATTCTTTCGAGGTGCTGCAGCAGCTGCTGCAGCTGCTGCCGCTCTGCTGCTGTGCAGCTGCACGCAGACACTGCCTGCCGCAGCTGCGCCACAACTGCGTCTGAAGTTGACTCCTCGTTCTGCTGCTGCTGCTGCTGCTGCTGCTGTTGTTGCTGCTGCTGCTGCTGTTGCGTTGATTCAGCAGCACTGTTATCCCCTCTAGAACAACCTAGTTTGTGTTCTTCTTCGTCGGCCCGCGTGGTACGGATCTCTCGTTTTATCTGGTGCTGCTGCTGCTGCTGCTGCTGCTGCTGCTGCTGCTGCTGCTGCTGCTGCTGCTGCTGCTGCTGCAGCAGCAGAAGCAGCTGCAGCAGCTGCGAGACGCTCTCCAGTGGAGGTTTGGGCGCTGCTTTCTCCCGATGAAGAGCAGGTCGGGGGAGAGAGCGGGGCGTCAGACACTGCAGCAGCAGCAGCAGCAGCAGCAGCAGCAGCAGCAGCAGAGGCAGCAGGTCCTGGCTTTGGCGTCGGCGTTGAAGAAGCGTCAGACTGCTCTTCACTGCTGCTGAAGGGAGACTGAGGGAGATCGGGTTTTTGCTTATGGAGCTGCTGCTGCTGCTCCGGCTGCTGCTGCAGCAGCTGCTGCTGCTGCTGCTCGTGCTGCTGCTGCTGCTGCTGCTGCAGGGGAGAAGAGCGGCCCTCTCGCCTCAAGCCACGCCTGCGCTCGGGGGCCCTTGTCTCGTTAGAGAAGCTGGCAGACCATTCCATTTGCTGCTGCTGCTGCTGCTGCTGCTGCTGCTGCTGGCAGTGCTGCTTATAGTCGTGTTCTTTTCTGTGGTGGCTCCTTTTGGTTGCTGCTGCTGCCTCCGCAGGTCTCGACCCAGCAGCAGCAGCAGCAGCAGCAGCAGCAGCAGCACGGCGTTCTGCATGCGCCTTCAGCAAAACCCGCTTCTCCGCCCTAATCTTTTCCTGCTGCGCCCTCACGCGCAGCAGCTCTTTTTTGAGAAAGTTGCTGTTGCGTTCTGCGTCTGCAGCAGCAGCAGCAGCAGCAGTTGCTGCTGCTGTTGCTGCTGACCCTGCTGCAGCAAACATACTCGTGCTGCTGCCAAAGCTGCTGCCCCTCCATCCCATGCTGCAGTCCCCTAAAGAAAAGCTCCGCTGCAGCGCATGCACACGGGGGCCCCCAGAGGGCCCCAAAGGGGGGCCCCCCGTGCTGCTGCCCAGCAGCTGGCGGGGCCCCCGGGGGCCCCTGGGGCCCCCGGGGGCCCCCCCACCCAGGCAGGTCCTCACGGGCAGCACGGGCTCCATCTGCTGCTGCTGCTGCTGCTGCTGCTGCTGCTGCTGCTGCTGGGCAAAAATGTTGCTGCGGCTGCCGCTGCAGCAGCTGCAGGAAGCGCTGCGCACCAAACGCCTAGCTGCAGCAGACTGGCGACTCGAGGGTGCTGCAGCAGCAGCCTCCTTGCTGCTGGTGTTGTGTCCAGGCAAACTCCAGCTGCTGCTGCTGCTGCTGCTGCTGCTGCTGCTGCTGCTGCTGCCCGAAGCACGGTGCCGCCCAGCTGCAAGGGGCCCCCGTCCCTGCTGCGCCTCCAGCTTGAGGGGCCCAAGCTCCTTGCTGCTTCCGTCTAGGCTGCTTGATCCATAGTTTGCTGCAGCAGCACAAAACACATTGCTGCTGCTGCTGCTGCTGCTGCTGCTGCTGCTGCTGCTCTGCTCTCTTCGCCCTGCCTCCCAGCCCGCAGCTTCTGCAACGCCGCCGGGGGCCCCCCGGGGCCCCAGGCCCCCGAAAGTCCTGGGGGCCCCCAGGGGCCCCCCTGTGGCTGGGGCCCACGTGCCTGCGCTGTCTGCATCTGCTGCTGCCTGGTACCCTCTATAGGGGGCTGGGGGGCCCCCCTGGGTCCAGTTTTGGGGCCCCCCGGGGGGCCCCCAGGAGGCCCAGGCTGAGCTCCTGCGCAGGGCGGGCTCGTCTGCATAAAAGGCCGAAGAAAACTGCGGGGGCCCCCTCAGGGGGCCCCCCTCTGGGCGCATGCAGAGGTGGGGGCAGGGGGCCCCCCAGCCCTGAAGCTGCTGCTGTGGGGGGCCCCCTGAGGAGTTGGGGGCCCCTCAAGGACTTGGCTGTGGGCGGGGGCGCTGCGGGCGTCTTCCTGCGCCTTTTTTTGTCTTTTTGCGGAAAAAACTAATTAGTTTTTGTCTAAAATAAAAGAATTGTTTTTTAAAATGAATTAAATCGAAAAGTCGAAGGCCAGAGCTGTAGATCTAGGGTGTCTCAACACTGCTGCTCGCTGCGCGCAGCTGTATCTGACCACCTCGGCGGCGCCTGCCCCAGCAGCAGCTCCTAAAAGCCTTTCTTCGCTGGCAAACGAAAAGATTCTTTGAATAAGAAAAGATTAAATTTTAAAATAAAAGATTATCTTTTAAATAGAAAAGATTCTCTTCAGATGCAGCGGCGAAGACAGGCGCAGAAGGCTCTGCGCAGCAATGGCTGGGCTGGTTCGACCCAGGGTCACCTCCGCGGGAAGGCTCCTGCAGCCTTCTGCGCCTTTTGCTGCTTCTCGAAATGATTTTACCTTTTTAATAAATTAAATTCAACAAAAAGAGAATATTTAGATTTTTAATTTCGCAAAAAAAGAAGATGACGCGCCCAAAAGGGTGTGCGGCAGCGCGGACGCGGTGGCCGTGCACGGGCAGCCAGCGAGCCCTCGCTCTCTTCAGCGCCGGCCGAAGGGAGTGCATCTCCCCTCAAAATGACGGAAATTAAACTTTAAAATAAAATAAATAATTAATTTTAAAATTAATTTGCGAAAATTCAAAAGATAAATGAGAAACAACAGCCAAAACAGCCACGCGCCCGCACCGTGAGCGGCAGGCAGTGGCGCCTCCCCTCCGGTTACTTCTTTATCGCCAGATTTTGAACACAAGAGACTACAAAATAATGCAAAATTCAAAATATTTCACTATCTTCAGATTTAAAACACAAAATAATACAAAAGTGCACAATTTTTGCATTTAAAAAATATAAAATTCGCAGTTTAGGGCACTGCCGGCCAATTTGGCCTTCTGCCAATCCCCCAAAGAAACCGGTGGAGTAGCCGCCACGGCTGCACCCGCCCCCTTGAGGCTATCCAGCTAGCTAGCTAGCTAGCTAGCTAGCTAGCTAGCTAGCCAATTAACTAGCTAGCCAGTCAGCTAGCTAGCTAGCGAGGTGGCTAGCTAGCTAGCCAGTTAGCTAGCTAGCTAGCCAGCTAGGTAGCTAGCCTCCAGGCTGGCTGGGCCCCCGAGGCTCCTGAGCAGCTAAAGCAGAAGCCCAGGGGGGCCCCTCGGGGCCCCACAGCTGCTGCTGGCGCTTAGGGGGCCCCCCAGCCACCCTGCTGCTGCTGCTGCTGCTGTACGTACACCAAAGGGGCCCACGCGAGTTCCTGCCAGCGCCCTCGAGGTGTACGTACACCTGAGCCCCTGCTGCTGCTGGCGTCTCCACAAAGGGCCCCACAAAAGGCCCCACAGGGGCCCCCAAGGGGCCCCACAAGGGGCCCCGCAAGGGGCCCCAGGGGGCCCCAGCCTTGGCGGAAGGCCCCGCAGATCGAAAAGGGGGCCCCCAAAATCTCCCGAGGCAGCGAGACCGCAGCGCAGGGGCCCCCACAGGGGCCCCCGCGGGCCCCACCAGCTGCCCTGGGGCCCCCAGGGCCCCCGGGGGCCCCGCGAGGCCTCGGGGGGCCCCCTTTGGGGCCCCCGGGCCCCAGGCGGTGGCCCGCAGGGCCCAACAGTTTGCCTGCTCTCCCTAGTGCTGCCTTTGGCGAGGCAAAGGGGGCAGACTGCAGCAAAGAACTTTTAAAAGGCTCTTTTAGAGAGCCAAAGAATTTCATTTATTAACTTTTTTGCTCTTAAAGTACAAAAGCAGCCCCACGGGCCCCACACTGCGCCACCCACAAGTCCACATAACGCATGCAGTGCGCACTAGGGGGCCCCCTACACAAGGGGGGCCCCCTACATACATGGGGGCCCCCACGGCCCAGGGGCCCCCAACAGCCCAGGGGCCCCCAACAGCCCAGGGGCCCCTCAAGCCCGGGGGCCCCCAACAGCCCAGGGGCCCCTCAAGCCCGGGGGCCCCCTCTTGCCCAGGGGCCCCGGAACCCAGGGGCCCCCTCGAGCTTAGGGGCCCCCTCATTAACCCCAGGGGCCCCTTTCGCCCAGGAGACCCATTAAGCCCAGAAGGCTCCCCTCGCGTCGGGGGGCCCCCCTCTCCCTGGGGGCCCCCCTTTCTCTGGGGGCCCCCTTGAGAGGGGGCGCCGGGGGCCCCGCGAGGCCTCGGGGGGCCCCCTTTGGGGCCCCCGGGCCCCAGGCGGTGGCCCGCAGGGCCCAACAGTTTGCCTGCTCTCCCTAGTGCTGCCTTTGGCGAGGCAAAGGGGGCAGACTGCAGCAAAGAACTTTTAAAAGGCTCTTTTAGAGAGCCAAAGAATTTCATTTATTAACTTTTTTGCTCTTAAAGTACAAAAGCAGCCCCACGGGCCCCACACTGCGCCACCCACAAGTCCACATAACGCATGCAGTGCGCACTAGGGGGCCCCCTACACAAGGGGGGCCCCCTACATACATGGGGGCCCCCACGGCCCAGGGGCCCCCAACAGCCCAGGGGCCCCCAACAGCCCAGGGGCCCCTCAAGCCCGGGGGCCCCCAACAGCCCAGGGGCCCCTCAAGCCCGGGGGCCCCCTCTTGCCCAGGGGCCCCGGAACCCAGGGGCCCCCTCGAGCTTAGGGGCCCCCTCATTAACCCCAGGGGCCCCTTTCGCCCAGGAGACCCATTAAGCCCAGAAGGCTCCCCTCGCGTCGGGGGGCCCCCCTCTCCCTGGGGGCCCCCCTTTCTCTGGGGGCCCCCTTGAGAGGGGGCCCCCAGAGAGGGGTGGCTGGGCCAGCAGTGCAGCCTCTCGGACATCTTAAGTTTGGGGCCTTTGGAGACAATT